GAAAGGAAGGAAGGAAAGAAAGAAAAGAAAGAAAGAAAGAAAGAAAGAAAGAAAGAAAGAAAGAAAGAAAGAAAGAAAGAAGGAAAGAAAGAAGGAAAGGAAGACCCACAATCATACATTGATCTTTCAGAAGGAGAGAACAAATCTGTGGTTACTGGGAGTGGGGGTGGGGGTGATGGGGAGAGATTGGGTAAGGGTCATAAAGAATAATACGATCTGTAATAACGAATATGCTAATATTGATTTGATCAAAACATGTTGTACACAGGTGATAGACGTCAATGCTGTACCCCCAAAATATATAGAATCAATTATGCTTCATTTAAAAAAAAAAGAAAATCACTAAGAAAATATTTCCACCCCCCAAAAAAAGAGAAATGTTCTTTAAAAATATTGTCTGAAGTAACATGAAACTGAAAACAAACCAAATGTCCATGAATCTTGGTTATAAAAACTACAGTATATCTTTAGGAAGAAATACTGTATACTTGTAGCAAGTGAAACAAATGAGGCAAATCTGTGGACTGATTTATTAAGATGTCCAGTAATTGTTTTAAATGAAAGACAAAACAGTGTTAATCAATATGTACAGAATGGTCTAATTTTTATTTTTCCTCTTGTTTTTAAATTATAGTTGAGTATCTTTAGAGACCAAATAGTTCCAACGTTATATAAATTGTATCAGAGCATATGAAATGAAGACTTTCAAATATTTTTTTATGAAGCAAGTATAACATTGATACCCAAGTCTGTAAAGACAGCACATAAATTATAAACTATTACCACTTATAAATATTGTTACAAAAATTCTAAAAATATTAGCAAATAGCCTCCAACACCATCCTAAGAAAACAGCTCACCATGACCAAGTGGGTTTTATGCCAGGAATATATGAACAGTTGAGCATTAAGAAATATATTAATATCATTTACCTTATTAATAGATTTAAGGAGAAAGATTGTATGATTATTTCCATAGATGCAGAAAAAGCAAATTCAACAACCATTCCTTATAAAAACAATTGGGAAAATACGATTAGATGAATACTTTCTTAACATTTTAAATTATATACTATAAAAGCCAGTGTTTTACTTAACGTAGGAATACTAAAAGCATTCCTACTAAGGCTGGAAACAAGGTAAGGATGTCCTCTAAGGATGCCCACTAGTTTTATGAGTAGCATTAGCCAATGAAATTAGATAAGATAATTAGAAGATAAGAATTTGAAAAGAATTAAAACTATTTCTATTTAAAGATGATATATGGCATACCTGGAAAACTTCAGAGAATTATAAAGCAAACTGAAACAAAAAAGAACTTAGCAAGACAGCAGGATATAAAATGTGCAAAATCAATAGTCCTCAGATACATAGATAATGCCAGCTAGAAGATAAAATGGAAGGAAAAAACCCCATTTAGAATGGCAACAAAAAAAGATAAAATACTTAGGAAAATACTTAAGAAATATGAAAAAAATCTATGAAGAAAATGACAAAACTACTGGAAAAACACAAAAGTATACTTGAACAAATAGAAAGTCATCCCTTGTTCTTGAATAGGATGTTTCATCATCATGAAGATAGCAGTTCTAATTTAATTTATAAATTTACTACAAACTCAATAAAAAATAGCACCAGGATTTTTTTTCTAGAATTAGAAAAGTTGAAACTAAATTTCAATCTCAAGTCAATTTGTCAATTTGACACAAAACTGTGACGTAAAGAAGGCTGTATGCTGGTGTTTCTCTAAAAAATGAACTCACTACTCTATAATCCTACTGAGCCAACCCTACTCACCTCTAGCTGATGTGCTGCCACGTGGATTGAAACTTAGGGTTGCTAAATCATCCAGTTTCCAAAAGAAACTAAAAATCTCAATTTGCATGTAACATTTTATGGTTTGAATATGTTGGCAACTAATTTAAATCAAAAATAAATACATCTTGCAGGTCATATCTAGCCTACACACTGTCAGTTTTTGACCTTTCGAGGGTTGGCAAACTTTTTCTGTACGGGGTCAGGCAGTAAATATTTTAGGCGTTGTAGGCCACATTCAGTCTCTGCTGCATATTCCTGCTTGTTTATTTATTTATTTGTTTTTACAACATTAAAAAAAGGTAAACAAGACAATTAAAAACAGGCTTTGGATTTGACCCTCATGGTAGTAGCTTACCAATTTTGGTTAATAGAAACCATGAAACCTTGAGATTCAACAATGAGTACTTTGTTAGAAGACAGACCCACTGGCTTGATATCTATCTCTCACAAAAAAAATTTTTTTTAAAAAGGCTGATATAAGTATAATATATATAAATTCACTGCACTGGGGCATTTCATAATGCGATACATTTTCCTCCTGACATATTAACAATATCCAGGAAGCATATCCTGAAAGGGAGTTTATGCTTCTGAGACACCATCCCACCTCCATCACATACAAATTATACCATATTAGCTAAAAAAGGTTTTCTAGATATTTTACTCCAAACACCTTCACAAAAAACAGTATTATCAGTTTTACAATTTAGACTGTTCTACTCAAGAAATATTAGGGTGGTTCTTGTTTCTTGGCTGCCAACTGTATTCATTTCCTTTTCTAATCACTTAAATAGAATCATATGTGATAAAGTTAAGGATAATAATAGCATCTATTTCTGAGACTGGCCAAGAACTTCATAATCCCATTAGACTAATGATGTGGCAAACATCAGGGGAAAAGTCATACCCAGTTCATCCTTATGGAGCATTTTGTTTCTAGCCCAATTTCAGAAGGGACATTTCAGTGATTTGATTTGGCTGTGGACAACTGTGGATCTTACCAGGAGATTACAAAAATTCTTTAGAACCTCTTGAAAATAGGATAGATATTTCTGAGATTTCAAAAACAACTATATGTGAAGGACATTGATAAGATTAATATCAGCTCTCAAATAGCTTTTAAACTTCATAATTTGTTGAAAAGATATTGGGATTATTAATTACAACACGACCCACTGAATCAAATGTGGTCCTGGATAACTTGTAATATGATTCTAAGTCTACCCAAGTTGGACTAAATCTTCAGATCAAGAACAAAACCAACCCAAGACTAAGAATTACCTAAAGCTTGGCAGGACCAATGTCCTTGGGCTTCTTAGTATGCTTAATTTCAGGCAAAAGCGAACTCAAAAGCAGCTCTTAAAGATTAATAACAGCGGTGTGCTGGAGCAGGCAAGTTGACTGTTTAAGAGTGAGCCAGCTGTTAAATGTGGCCATCTTTAAAGATTAAATTATATAACCTACGGTGAACTATATTATATTAAAAACAGATACTAAATACCAAAAACACATCACTCCGTAATTATTTTACTACTACCTATGCTCTTGAGATTATTGATATAAATATCTATTCTATCTGTATGGTAGAAATACTACAGAATGGTGTGTTACTGAGCATCTTTTCCCTTTCTTCATTGTCATCACATTTGTAACCCGAAATTGGCTATGCTGGGAGTATTTACACCACATAATATGCAAATACTATGAATCAGCCCCCTCTCCCCCTTCCGGAGAGTCAGTTATCAAACATTTACCACCACATTACTGGCTTAGGAGAGTGCCATAACCTCTGATTAGCTCATGTACAGACCTCATCTTGCTCATTCCTGTGCTAGCCCCATAGAGAACTAAATTATTTTAAGTTGCCTTAATATAAAACATCATCTTTCTAGGGATCATTAAAAATGGTTTATTTTTTGAACATACATACCTTCTTTCTAAACAAGGAAGCATCTTTTCTAATAAATGGCGAACTGGGTCTGAGAAATTTCGGAATTCCCACAATTAATGTTTTAGGGAAAGGCTTATGGGGGGTAATTCTTATTTTTTGTCTTTTCTCTCTTACATCAAATATTTTCTTCTGTGAGAAGAGCTGTTGCCCTAAGGCAACATAAACTGGTCTCAAGAACAAACAAAGATGGACCAATTTGCTCCAGCCACCTCCAGGAAGTGATTTAAGTAGGCCCAGAGGAACTCCATGCAATACAAAGGCCAGATTCACTAACAAATGGTTTGGATGCCAAATGGGTCATTTCAGATACATGGAGCATTTCACTCAAGTTACTTAAAAGAATGTCAAAATTGGTCAGTGTAAAAAAAAAATTAAGGCATGTGTAAAGAGCACTGCGCACATTAGTTTCAATTTTTTTTTTCTTTAAATTTGTTTTGGAGTGCCTGCAAATACTCTACATGGCTAAGCCGAACTGGAAAGAAATACATACATGGATATGTTATTTTAAACCTATTCTTCTTTTAGTTAAGGAAAAATTTCAGAATTCCACAGAGTTGGTGATGTGTGCTATACAAACACAATTATATCATCTTATAAAAAACATAAAAAGCTGGACAAAGGGCCACATTCTTGTTCTTTCCAATAGAAAGGCATCAAAAACTCAAAAGAAAGTAGTTGTCTTCATGTCCGAGTAATTACTACTTAACTTTAAATTTGAGAAACACCAACTTTCTGTATTTTCTTGTGTGAGAAATTTGCAAAGATGATGCAGTATACTGAGTATTAGTCACATATTTTCCACCAAATATTGGGAAATAGTAAAGCAGCTATTAGGGTTTTAAAGGTTATTTCTTAGCATTTATGTGTATGTAGATGTGTTTGATAGAGCCTTCAAATGCACCCTTAGTATTTAATATTTGAATGAAATTAAAAATATTATGATGTCATGGTTTTGACTTTTAAAGAGTCATCTGTAAACCTGACTTGACTGAGATTGGCTTTACTTGCATTGTTCTACTGTGGGAACAATGTTGATGAGCACTGTGGGATCTGGTTACCATCCTGCTTTTGACCTACTAAAAAGGGTGAAGAACAAATGCATTTTATATTTATTTAAAATTAATAAAATAATAAACAAAGTTACATGTAAATGACAGTTCAGTACATTTAGTTGAATATTAAAAAATTAACATATCCATAAGCTCATAGATCCTTCACCACCATTGAACATTTTAGTCTATGTAGTCAAAGTCTTCTGGAATTCCAAAATTTTCATCAATTTTTTTTCCTTCAAACCCAAATTTTCTTTTGGCCCAAGATTTTATGGCAAATATGTTATCTATAAAGAAAATTGAGAAATATTTTTGAGAATTAAAAACACAATCATAAAGCATTTCAAATATAATTATCTTCATTATTCTTTTACTTCCTTCTATTACTTTCAGACGTATCGAAATAAGCTTTTCATATTTTCCGGAGTCATGTCAATTATAGAAAAAAGAAGATATTTAAAAACTATTTTGAACAAGTTAACAGATCTCATATTAAAAAACTCAGTAAGTTAATTGCTGCTAAAGAATACCTGACTTAAGAGTAATACAAAATACAAAGAATAATACAATGAATAATATAAAGGTTGACAGTGTCTTTTTGGCATTCCACAGCAAAGGCCAGGATTCTGTTGCCTCAGGAATTAGAGGTGCTCCTGCTACCAAAGGGATCACATTCTATCCAGACCCTTCTTCCTCCCCAACAGAGAATAACAGCTTCCAGACAATTAGCCCAGTGTGAGGGAGAGGGGGTGAGGAGGAGGGAAGGGGGTGCTCCTCTCTTGAGACTAAGGTAAGATGTGTCCTCAGCAAACCCTAACGGAAAAAATGCATCTTACCACTGAAAAAAGTATTATATCTACTTAAAGGAATTTATCCCAAGGAAATAAGACAAATTGTATATAAAAATTTGGGTCAAAGATCTTTATCTCAGTGCAATAAGAGAAAAAAATAAAAGCAATCTAAATGTCTACTTATTGGGAAGGGCACCTATGTACAGGAAGTGAGGGATGAGAACGTCAAAGTGCTAACAGTGGCCGCACCTGGAGAGTGGGAATGATGGTGGGTTTTTTCCCTTAATTTCGCACATTTCTTTAAAGTACATATACAACCTTCACAATGAAACTGTAAACACAGAAAAATAATAGTACAATGTTTTCAGGTTTGTCAGAGTATACTGTAAAATGTTAAGCACTATGATAATGAAGCAAAGGGTTAAAATACGTTCTTCTGTAGTGTTATAGGCTGAATCATGTCTCCTCTCCTCTCCCCCCCCAATTCATATGTTGAAGTCCTAACCCCCCCTGCCTCAGAATGTGACTGTATCAGAGAAAAGATCTTTAAAGAGGTGATTAAGTTAAAATAAGGTTGTTAGGGTGGACTCTAATCCAATCTGACTGGTGTCTTTATAAGAAAAGGAAATTTGGACACACTGAGACACCAGGGGTGTGCACAGAGGAAAGACCATGAGAAGATTACAGGGAGAGGGCAGATACCTGCAAACCAAGGCCTCAGAAGAAAACAAACCTGCCAACCCTTGACCTTGGACTCAAGAGCCTCCAAAATGATGAGAAAATAAATTTCTGTTGTTTAAGCCACCCCATGTCTGATATTTTGTTCGGGCAACCCTAGCAAATTAATACATAGAATTTGATCACTTCTAAAAATATTGTTTCTATGGAAGTTTAATTACAAGTACCAAATACATTTCTGGAATAAAGTTTATTTCTAAGATGAATACTACTGTGTATAGAATAGCGTTAACAAAATGTTCTCATTTCTTTCAATTAAAATGTTATGAAATGCAAACAGATAAAAAAATCCTTGAAACAGATAAAATGAATCTTTACTCTCTGTAACAAATGAAAACGAATTTTTACTTTTCATAACCTAGGCTCTCCATACTAAAAAAACAGCATGAGGTATTCTAGAATAATCTGTTTAGTTTTACCAGTGTCTGCACAAATACATTTTTTGCCAATCACAACCAAATATTTATAGAAGGTCCACTGCTATGTAAGATAGGTATTAAGTGTATTACAGGTATTATAGAATGTAAACAGCTTATGCCTTCAAGTCGACACAAGAAAGAGGAAAAAAATCATTAATTTATTACTAAACAATTCCAAAGTGATATGTGCATTAGAGAGAAAAGACCAAGTTTATGTGTATAGCTTCCAGGACAGGCTCCATGAATACAGAAAGATTTCCAGGAAATGAGAGATCAGATGTTAACACTGTAGGAAGCTTGCAGGGAACATGCTTTCAACCTGGATTAGAAGAGAAGAAAAACAAAGGAAACAAACAAAAGCCTCTCCACAACAAGGCCAAGTGAACTAATTTAAAGAAGACTCTTTAAACATTTTCTTGGGCCACTGGATGTCTCCCTTCAAGACAATGTTATACACAATCTTGACAGTTCATTCCCTGTCAAATAATTTTCCTATATGTAGCTATTTTTATAAATGAATAAAGAATATTATTTTGTTTTTAAAGAAACAATCTTAAGGCTGATAGAATTCCTGCTTATTTATATGGTGGCATACCCATATAGGCATACCCATATAGGCATATCCATATAGGAATAGGATGGGCAGTATCGTTTGCAATGAATCTGTGTCAGGACCTCACAATGTCTATCCCCCCTCACTCAGTAAGATGTCTCATATATATTTATGAAAATGCCACTATCTTAATTATTTAGCAAGGTTTCACATGATATAATTTATTAAATCACATTTAAAGTATATTTAATGTTATAAAAAATGACAAATTATTGAGCAGTAAATATTCTCAATTCTAGATACATTTTTAAGGTCTTTTTTTTTCTTAATGTAAAAAGAAACCAGACCTTAACTAATAGCTATATGTTAATTTTGTTATAAATATTACTGATGTTTTCTTTCTGCTTGTTTGGAGGTAGAGGTTTCCTGAGGTGTAATTTGCTATCTCTTATCTTCATAACCTTGAAAGGAGTTGGAAGCAGCAAGTTGTAACCTCAAATGGAAATACGATTCTTAACAACTGTTCTAAAAAAAACTTCCTCCACATGATTTTAAAGGTCCCAGGTTCTTTCACTGCTAATAACAAGGGGGGTGGGGCGGGGGAGCTGTTCCAACTGTTTTTTTCTACTTATGATTTTTGAAGTTAATAATCAATTGGAAAACATGAAAGGATTTTTTAAGAAGAGAAACGGAAAGGGGGAGTATTTATCGATGTGTCTAACATTGTGCTGACGGGCTTGCAAACTTCCTTGTTTAATCCTCCTGAAATGTATGGTATCTATTATCCACATTGAACAGATGAGGAAGTAGGTTCAGAGAAGTTTAAGAGGTCATACAGAAAACAAGGAACACAGTTTGGATTCCTTTCAAAGTCAAGTTCCTTCCACCATACACACAAGCTGCCTGCTCTACTGTGTGCTGAGCTCCTTTGTTGAGAACTATTGAGGGAAACCAAATTGTGACTCATCTTATTTTTAATATAAGAATGCACTTGCTTCTTTTGTCACACTCAAAATTTCATATTTCCAAAGTGCATACAATATCACTGTATTTATTATTTATTTATACTTTATGGGACCCACATTTCATTATTCTTTTTTCTTTAATGTTAGCTTGCTGTTTTTACCCTCCTCTGTTCTTATCAGTAAAGCAATATATTATTTAGGAATTAATTTTGTAATAAATAAGATTGCAATTTTATAGAACCCAAAGGACAATTATATTTTTACCAATCTATTTAATTCTAAAATAGACTGGGAAAAAATGATTCTTAAATGTTTTGTGAAAAATGTGAAACCTGGGAAACCTGGCTCAAGTCTATTCTTCCAGTGACTAATCATCTTTGATTAAATGCAGTCCCTTAAGCTTTTACATCTCTGCATCAATTTAATCTTATCCATATTCTCCCACAGAAACATAATAAGGATGTGAAGGCATTATAAATGTTCACCAGGATGGAAAAATTCAATAACCATTATTTGTAATTAAATATTGGAAAAACATCAGTGTAATTTTCTGACAGGTTATAACAATATTAATCATACTTGTATATAATTCATAGCAACCACTATTTATTAACTTTCTGAACCTTAAGACACATAGATAATGCTTTATTAATTCCCATTTCTTAGAATATCTCTGGTGTAGACCAGAGGGTGTATCCACTGGCAAATAGATTAATAAGGCATTTAGATGAAAGCAGTCTTAGAGAGAAGAGAGTAGGTATCAAGTAGTGAGTAAGAGCCTGGACTCTGGAATCAGAGAAGATGGATTCTAATTCCTGTCCCACTGCCTAGCACATGTGTGGTCTCAGGCTCCTGAGGGCCTTAGTTTCATCTTCAAAATTAGGGATAATAATGATGTCTACCTTACGAGATTATTGTGGAGATAAAATGAAAATGCACCATAGACACTCATTACAATAACTGGCACATAGCCAGCCATTAAAAACATTAGCTATTATTATTATTATTGTTATTAGCAAGAAGACAAATTATTAGGATCCCATGAAACTTGTAAAGGTATATCTTACATTGATATATACAAAAGTTAATTGATTAGCCCAAGTGACTTCTCTTGGGAAAAATTACACAAAAGTTAAACTGAAAGCAATCTTTGGTTTTACAAAAATATCTTATACTTTACAAAACAACTCAATAATAAGATTTTTAAAAATAACCTTACATAACTGAAATGATTTAATATATAAAAACTTGAGTCATGCATACATTTCCAGAAATGCCCTTTCTTGAACAAAGCTAGCACAAAGGCATTTGAATTTCACATCACAGTAAGTGAGGAAGAAGTTTAGCTATAGTTCACCAGAGTCTTATAATACATACCAGTCCATCTGTTAGCAGCTTCTCTGGCTATTTTATTTGCTTGACCTGAAAAAAAGTTATATATATTTATGTATATAAAAATTATGTATATATTTGCATATACAAAATTATTTTTTGCTATCCATAGATTTCTATTTTTTCATATGACCAAAAATTTTATAAAATGTATATATATAAAAGGACCATTAAAAAAAAAGCTCAAATAGTGCATAACATTGCATCTTACAAATATTACCAAGAAAATTTTAGATAATTGTAGCAACATTAGTCATAAACGGAAAGTCAATGTGAACAATTTCGCTTTCCTAAAATCCATCATCATTGTACTTGCTCCTTTAAAGACAACATATAAGTTTAAATGAGATGTGTTTCTCAAACCAAACCAAAATATGACAAAATAAATTTAATAAGAACTTTTCTGAATGTACATTATTGGGCCACAATAAATCTGATTTTAAAAAATGTTAGTGCTAAGAAAGTAGCCCTGTAGGAGGGAATATTTAAATATTTAAATAATCCACCTTATATTTAAATACACATCTTGCTAGTAATTGTATCTGTATGTACGTTTTTTGAATTAATCTACAAAGTGCATAATAATGCCACAGTCACCTGGGCATAAATATTACTTACAATGATGACATTTTAAAATTGAAAATTCATTTACATACCACAGAATTCACCATATTAAAGTATGTAATTCAGTGGTTTTAAAAAATATATTCACAAGATTATACAACCATCATTACTACCTAATTCCAGAATATTTTCATTACTCAAAAGGAAACCTTGTAACTATTAGCAGTGACTCCGTCTTCCCTCTCCCTCCAGCCTCTGGGCAACCACTAATATATGCCCTGTCTCTATGAATTTCTGTTTTGTGACCATTTCATATAAATGGAACATACAATATGTGGTCTTTTGTGTCTGGATTCTTCCACTTAGCACGTTTTCCAGGTTCATCCATATTGTAGCATGTATCAATACCTCATTTTTTTGTGTGCTAAATTATATTCCATTGTTTGCTTATCCATTCACCAATTGATGGACATTTTGGGTTGTTTCCACTAACATGAATAATTTAATAATTTTTGTGTGAACATGATTCCACTTCTCTTGGGTACATATCTAGGAGTGAAACTGCTGGCTCAGATGATAACTCTTAAGTATAACATTTTGGGGAACAAATAAATTGTTTTCCAAAGTGGCTGCCCCAGTCATCTAAGAGTTGCAATTTCTCCACATCCTTGCAAACAAGTGATGTTTTCTATTTTTTAAATTATAGCCATCCTAATGGATGTGAAGTGGTATATCATTGTGTGTTTTTTTTTTTTTCCTTTTTTTTTTTTTGTCTTTTTTCATGACCAGCAACGGGATCGCAACCCTCGGCGTTGCGCCCGCACCTCGCTCAGCCAGTGAGCGGCCGGTCTGTATGTGGGATCCGAACCCTCGGCGGGAGCGCCGCGCTCCCAAGCGGCGCACTGTAGCAGTGCGCCACCGGGCCGGCCCCTATCATTGTGGTTTTGACTTGCATTTCCCTAATGACAAATGATGTTGTTGAGCATCTTTTCATGTACTTATTGGCCATTTGTATATTTTCCTTAAAAAACTGCTTATTCAAATCCTTTGCCCATTTTTAAATTGGGTTGTCTTTCTATTGTTGAATTACAAGAGTTCTTTATATATTTTGGATATTAGACACTTATCAGATACAGGATTTGCAAATCTTTTCTTCCATTATGTGAATTTTCTTTTCACTTTCTTGATAGCATATATATAATATGAATGTCCACACCAAAATTCATACTAAAATTTAATTGCCATTGTGATGGTATTGGAAGGTGAGGCCTTTAAGAAGTGATTAGGTCTCAAGGACGAAGCTGGCATGAATGGATTAATGCCATTTTTGTGGGAGTCGATTCCTGACAAAAAGGATGAGTTCAGCTCACTTCCCTGTCTCACTTGCCCTTTGTCCATAGGATGACCCTCACCAGATGCCAGCACCATGTCTTAGACTTCCCAGACTCCAGAACCTTGAGCCATATAAACTTTTCTTTGAGGGCTGGCCTGTGGCTCACTAGGGAGAGTGTGGTGCTGATGACACCAAGGCCACGGCTTTGGATCCATATACAGGGATGGCTGGTTAGCTCACTTGGGAGAGCGTGGTGCTGACAACACCAAGTCAAGGGTTAAGATCCCCTTACTGGTCATCTTTTTTAACAAAAAAAACAAACTTTTCTTTGTAAATTGCCCAGTCTATGGTATTCTTTTATAGCAACAGAACATGGACAGAACAGAACTAAGTGTACAAAAGTCTTTAATTTGGATGAAGTCCAATTTATCTACTTTTTCTTTGGTTGCTTATACTTTTGGTGTCATATCCAAGAAACCGATGCCCGTACCCAAAAAAATATACACCGATGTTTTCTCCTAAGAGTTTTATAGTTTTAGCTCTTACATTTAGGTCTTTGATCCATTTGAGTTCACAGCGTGAGGTGGGTGGGGATCCAGATTAATTCATTTGCATATCCAATTGTGCCCAACACCATCAGTTGAAAACATAATATCTTTCCTGATTAAATGATCTTGGTAACTTTATTGAAAATCAATTGAGTTTATTGCTGTACTCTCTATTCCACTTTATTAAGCTATATGTCTGTCCTTATACCAGTAGCACACTGTCTTGATCACTGTGGTTTTGTAGCAAGTTTTGAAATTGGAAAGTTTAAGTTTTCCAATTTTGTTGTTCTTTTTCAAAATTCCTGGCTTTTTTGGGTCTCCTGCATTTCTATATGAATTTTAGAATCAGCTTATCAATTTTTGCAAAAAAGCAGTTGGAACTTTGGTAGGTTTTCTATTGAATCTATAAATCAATTTGAGGGGTATTTCCATCTTAGTAAGCTTTTTGGACTTCTGATCAAGATGCGGGAATCGATGGTACCCAGTGCATCCTCTCCCACAATTAACCACTTTATAACTATTAAAAAGCAACGACTGCCAAGCTGGGGCCTCTAGAGCTCAAGGGAAGAGGAGGAGAGACCTATGGAGTTCATGAAGGCAGAAGGAGCCACAATGAGAGAAAAAAATTATTGTTCTGACCGTTTCGAGTCCTGACCACTTCAAGGCTCACAGTGATGAGCACGCAGAGCTAGAGCTGGCAAAAGCCACAGCTGTGCTCTTCATATGAAGTTGCTTGGAGGCAGTAGGTGAGAAGAGGGCCTTGGAGGCCCCCAAGCCAGCAAGACCACTAATAGAGTTACTGTGGACCCACATAAGAGAAAGGGGCCACAAACAACTGAAAAAAGGAGCCATGTGGAGGCTGGTGAGTAACTGCAAGGGACTGGTGCATGGCCTGTCCCATGAGAAGTGTTTGGAGTGCAGGTGGTGGGGGAGATGGGCCCACCAGGGGAATATTGGGGCACAGCATGGCCAGCTGATCTGCATGCCAATAAGCAAATGACCACTTGGTGGAGACTGGTCAGGAATATAGAACTGCAGGGGGTTCAGTTTGCTCAACAGTCTCAGGCTCAGATCAGTTTCCACACAACCCAGGTATACCATATGTCACAAGACTTAGAAGTGGTTACAAGGTCAAAAATTAAAATCTGAGCTGCACAAAAAGCCTTCCCCAGAGAATCAGCTGCAAAGCAGAAATTTAGCTCAACCACAGGGCTCAAGTGCTGGTTCCCATAGGAAGTTCCCCCATCTTAGAAGTAATGAAAGGACTTCAAATTAGTTCTAGTGCAGAGTTTAAGTGGTGAGAATAGTGAATAATCTAACACAGAAATAAAGGACAAAACAAAAACCCCACAGATTAGAAACAAAGTTCTGATATTAACCAGTAAAGGTCTAACACCACCAAAGAACACCTATAAAATCTAAAAGTACCAGAAATCCCCTGGGCTCCCTAGCTGGGTTGTCGTGAGGGCCAAGGCCCTCAGCCATGCTCCCCCCACCATGTCTGCATCCAGCCCAGCAATGACCACTGAGCCAGCACCAGAAGTACCCCATGCTCCTGAGTTAGTTCTTTAAATGTTTGGTAGAATTTCACCAGTAAAGTCTGGGCTTTTTCTCACTGTGAGAAATTTTGATTACTAATTCAAATATTTGCATGTTATAGGTCTAGTCAGATTGTCTATTTCAGCTTGTACCAGTATTGGTATTTATATTTTCTAAAATTTATTCATCTAGGTTATCAAATTTATTGATATACAACTGTTCATAGCATTCCCTAACTGTCCATTTTATTTCTTTAAGGTTGGTCGTAATGTTCCCTCTTTCACTCCCTATTTTAGTAATTTGAGTCTTCTTTTATTCTTGGTCAGTCTAGCTAAAGTTTTACCAATTTTGTGATTTGCTTAAAGAACCAACTTTGGTTTTGTTTGATTTTCTCATTTTTCAATTTTCTATTTTGTGTATTTCTGCTCTACTTTTTATTATTTCCTTCTGTTGCTTTGGGTTTAGTTTGCTCTTCTTTTTCTAGTTTCTTAAGGTGGAAGACTGGGATATTGATTTGAGAACTTTCTCTTTTTTTAAAACACAGGCATTGAAATTTCCCACTAAGCAAAGTTTTTATTGTATTCTCTGTTTTTGTGTATTTTCATTTTAATTCATCTCATAGTATTTATTAATTTCCCTTGTGATTTTCTTTGGCCCATCCTTACCTAAGAGTGTGTTGATTAATTTCCACATATTTGTTAATTTCCCAAATTTCCTTCTATCATCTACCCCTAATATCATTTCCTTGTCATCAAAAGATATACTTTGCATTATTTTAATCCCTTTAAATTTGTAGAATGCATATTCTGCTGTTGTTGGGTGGAGTGTTCTATAAATGTCTGTTAGGTGTAGTTGGTTTATGGTATTAAGTCTTCTATTTCCTTGTTTATGTTCTGTCTTGTTGCTCGAGTTTTTATTTAAAGTGAAGTACTAGAGTTTTCAACTATTATCGTTGAATTGTTGATTTATCCTTTCAATTCTTTCAATTTTGCTTCATGTATTTTGGTGCTCTATTTTTAGGTGAATATTTGTATACAATTTTTAAATTTTCTTAAAGGCTGACCTTTTTATCATTATAATTTTAAACTGTTCTTTGTCTCTAGTAACAATTTTTGTCTTAGAGTCTATTTTGTCTGGTCTATTTAAAGTCTATTTAAATTAGTTTAGCTGCTCCAGCTCCCTTTTGGTTACCATTTGCATGGTATATCTTTTTCTAGCCTTTTTACTTTCAACATACTGTCTTTGGATCTAATGTGAGTCTCTTCTAGGCAGAATAGAGTTGGCTTATGCATTTTCTTCTATTCTGCCAATCTCTGCCTTTTCATCAAAGAGCTTAATCCATTTTCATTTAGTGTAATTACCAAAAAGGGAGGATTTACAGCTGCTATTTCACTATTTGTTTTCTATATTTCTTATGCCATTTTTTTCCCTCCGTTACTCCACAACTACCTTCTTTTGTTTTAAATGGATTTTTTTTCTTTAGTATGCATACCATTAATTCCCCTCCTGTTTCTTTTACTAACATTTTTGGGTTATTTTTTTACTGATTGCACTGGTGATTATCATTAACACCTTAACTTATAACAATGATGTTCAGATTAATACTGACTTAATTTCAGTGGTATACAAAAACTGAGCTCCTGTATAGTTCCATTCCCACATCTCCCATTTCTCACTGTCACTGTCACAAATTACATCTGACACATTATCTTATCATCAACATAGATTTATTATTATTGCTTTCTGCCACTGTCTTTAAATTAGACAGAAGAACAAAAGGAGATACAAAAAAAATACATGTATACTGTCCTTTATATTTACCTATGTAGTAACCTTTACCAGTGTGATTTATTTCATCACATCAACTGAGTTATGGTTGGGTGTCCTTTCATTTCATCCTGAAGGACTCACTTAAGTACTTTTTGTAGGGCAGGTCTGCTAGTGACAATCTTTTAGTTGTTGTTTAGCTGAGAATATTTTACTTTGGCCTTTATTTTTGAAGAAAAATGTTTCTGGATATAGAATTCTTGGTTGACAGGTTTTTTCTTTCAGCCCTTTGCAAATGTCATCCCAATGCCTTTCGCCTCTGTGATTTCTAATGAGAAACAAGCTGTTAATCTTATTGAGGATCCCTTGTATGTAATGAGTTGCTTCTTGTTGCTTTCAAGATTCTCTTTGTCTTTAGCTTTAGATAATTTGATTATGATGTGTCTTTGTGTGGATCTCTTTGGGTGTTTCCCACCTGGAGTTCATGGGAATTTCTGGATGTGTAGATTAACGTTTTTCTTCAAATTTGGGAAAATTTCAGCTATTAATTCTTCAGATACTCTTTCTGCCCCCTTTCTCTCTCTTTTCCTTCTAGAACTTCCATTATGTGTATGGTGGCGCCACATTTCATTTTTTTTTTTCTTTTTGTTCCTTAGCATAGAAAATTTCAATTGTACTATCTTCAAGTTTATTGATTCTTTTTCTGCCTGCTCAAATCTGCTGTTGACCCCTCTAGTGATTTTTCATTTCAGTTACTGTAGTTTTCAACTCTAAAATATCTATTTGGTTCCTTTTTAACACTGTCTCTTTATTGATATTCTCTATTTGGTGAGAGATCACTTTTAGACTTTCCTTTAGTTCTTTAGACATGATTTCCTTTAGCTATTTGAACATATTTAAAATAGCTGACTTAAAGTCTTTGTCTAGTAAGTCCAACATTTGGGCTTTCTCAGGAATAGTTTCTATCAATTGGTTTTATTCCAGTGTGTGAACCATACTTTCTTGTTTCTTTGCAGGTCTTACAATTTTTTGTTGCAAAAATGGACATTTAAAATAATATAATGTGGCAACTGTGGAAATCTGATTCTTCCCCCTCCCCAGGGTTGTTACTTATTGTAGTTGCTACCATTTGTTTGTTTAGTGATTTTCTGAACTAATTCTGTAAAATTTGTGTTCTCTGTTGTGTGTGGCCACTGAAGTCTACTTGGCTAGAACAATGATCAGCTACTGATTGAACAGAGATTTCCTTAAACATCTGGACTAAATCTCTTTGTGAAGAGGCTGTCTTTGCCAAAGGGCTCTGCCAAGTGTTTGCCTAGGAGCTTTGTGTGTGCATTGGGACATGCCTTCAACACTCAGCTGGGCAATTTACAACTCTGTCTCAGTCTTCTTGTCCTGCTTGCACAGAACATCAAAGTCAGCAAGAGATAAATGCTTAGTACTTTCTCAGGTCTTAACTGAGAATGTGAACCGCCCTATGCATGTATGTAGACTTCCAAATTTCCGGGAATATATCGTTTTTCAAGGCACCCATGGACATCCCCTTCAGTTTCTCCTTTTAAGATTTTTCATTAGTCTGCTGTTTGCCTCAACTGTCATTCATCACCTAAGACAGCTGTGAAGTTAAAAACTCTTGCCTATAATTGTTTAGACAAATACTCCCTAGGGAGAGGATTTTAGCACTGGTCATACTCCAAGCCAGGTCAAATAAAGACAATCTTTTCTACTGGTGTCTTTCAGGGAACAATCAGACATGTATATAATGACAATTCTTTAGAATTGAGGCCCTTAAAGAACTCCAGTTGCATTTTGCTCTCTCTGACAATGGGAATGTGGAGGTGTTATCTTTCAAGATTACTGCTGAGCTGGAGAGTGGGAATGAGAATAAGGCAAGTTAAAACTTCACAAAGCTCACTATTCTTACTGAGATTCAGCCATTTTTCTTGGATAGGGGCTCCTGAAAGCCTTTGGTCAGTTTCTGAGTTCCAAAAAAGTTGATTGTAACAATTTTCGTTAGCTTTTGTAAAAGGACAAATAGTTAGAAGTCCTTACTTTATGATTTTCACAGTCATCCTGGCATTTATTTCTAAGAAAATTCCTTAAGTACTTCTAAAATTACTTAATTTCAAGTATTTTTGTGGAATTTAATTTCTACTACTTGTTTTATCTGGTCTCACTCAAATAATGATCAGAGTGGATAAAATTAAAATTTATTTTTTAAAATAAATTATTGCTTTTACTTCTCACTTTTTGGATATTTGCAATTAAGCTTGCTAATACTTGTTTAATGATATCAATAATTCAACTGTCATGATGAAATAGAAATAATTCTTACAGGCATTACTGAGAAATCAATAGAAAATATACAGCCATGCTTCTATGAACAAAGGGTTATGGCTATTATCAGCAAATTGTATTCCAAAATAAACCATGACAGACTTAGAGATAAGCCTGAGTGTAGTAATATGGGTGCTATAGCCATGCTATTAAGAACCAAATCCTATTAAAATCAATTTGGGAAACTCATAATCCTTTAATCCAGTATAATCTGTTCTGCACTAACATGAAAGATGAAATCTTATGAAAACTCTGATTATTAAAAATCACATTATTTTTTATTTTTTTTATTTTTTATTTATTTATTTATTTTTTTCATTAAATTTTTATTTTGTCAATATACAATGTATATGATTATTATGGCCCATCACCGACACCTCCCTCCCTCTTCCCTCTCTCCCCTCCCCCCCAAGAATGTCCTTTCCGTTTGCTTGTTGTAACAACTTCATAAAAGTATAGTTGTTATATCTTCTTCCCCACCCCCCCCAGGTTTTTTTGTGTGTGTATGTGGGTGAATTAATTTGTTTGTTCTTTAGCTCCCACCAATGTTCATTGCAGCACTCTTCACAATAGCCAAGAGCTGGAATCAACCCAAATGTCCATCATCGGATGAGTGGATACGGAAAATGTGGTATATCTACACAATGGAATACTACTCAGCTATAAAAACGAATGAAATACTGCCATTTGCAACAACATGGATGGACCTTGAGAGAATAATATTGAGTGAAACGAGTCAGGCAGAGAAAAAGAAATTCCACATGTTCTCACTCATTGGTGGGAGCTAAAAAACAAAAATCACATTTTAAAAACAATAATCTAATTGGGAAAAGGGGATTTGGGGTGAGTAGAACTTAAAGTGTAAAAAAAAAATCTAAATTTAGTGGTCTGTGGGTTTATAGTTTTCATCAAATTAGAAAAAGGTTAGATTTTATTTTTTCATATATTTTTCATATCAGTTTTTCCAAAAGCTTCACTTGGTGAAGTTCCCTCCCAAATAAAAGACGAAGACAGAAAAATATGAAGTTATACATGTTTTCCTAAGCAACTAAATGCTGTCTTTATAATACACTCTTTCATCTCCTCAAATATTCAGATTTCTATCTTTACATAAATATATAAAAATTATTCAAAATAAAGCTTTGGGTACTCTGGTTTAAGAGCAGGGCACAAAAACCCCATAACAAACAAACAAACAACAACAACAACGAAACCAGAATTGAGGCCATGAGAGGTGGGAAAGGGGGAGAGGGAGGAAGGTTAGCAAGAAATTGGCAAAGGGCCACAAAAAATGATTAAACTGTTTAATGCTGAATATACTAATTATCCTGATTTGAGCATCACATATTGTGCATAGGTATTGATATTCAACACTGTACCCCACAGACATGTACAATCAATTACGTTTCAATAAAAAAAAAGGGCAAAAAAATCATTGGTATGTTCAAAAGGCAATTCAATGCACAGACTTGATTTTCTGCAACTTGCAAACTCTTTTAATTATGGCATCATTTTTTCCTAGAAGATACTAGTGAATTTCTTTCTAGGGCCTAATTAGCTTCTTCCATGACTCTTCAGTCTCCTAAGAATTTTCTTTTTTTTTTTTTTAGCAGCAGGTCAGTTCAGGGATCAAACTCTGGACTTTGGTATTAACAGGAACACGCTCTCACCAACTGAGCTAACTGGCCAGCTCCTCATAAGCTTTTAATTTATGAATTTATCCTTCTACCCCACCCACCTTCCTTACTTTTGAAATACTCATAATTTCAAAGTTGTTACTGTTCATATCTTGAAGAATGGTTACCAGGCAACTAGAAGTAAAAATGTCTCTTTCATTACCAAAGTTAAAGACCCTCAAGTTGTGGTACAAACTTACGCATTTCTTCTACAACTTGTGCGTTGCATTCTTTGTATTTTTCTACTTCTGCCTTTAGTTGCTCCCTTTGCTCCCGAAGAGAAGAAAGCTCTTTTGCCAGCATGGTTCGCTCTTCCTGTATTCAAAGTAGTTTTATATACAGTTAAGACAAACAAAATCCAATGTTATAAGGTAATACATGGTGTGTACTAGGCTTTTGATGTTAATATTATATATACACATACATACATTCACAGTATACAAGCTTAATTCTCATCTTTCTCTGAAAGCTCAAGCATCTTTTATATATATTGAACAACTAAATGTAAATTAATATGTAGAATGGAATGTTCATATATAGGTGAGAGGTTACCAGTTATGCTGAGATGAACTCAAAGATGTCATCATGTGTTAGGGAAAAAAATCATACTCCTTTTTAGGTAGTTTAACAAGATTGTGTCTAGGTATGTAAGTAATATTTTATGGCAATATCAATCATTACACAATTATCCTTAAAAGTGTTCTAGACAAATTTTCAACCTTTAAGGATGAGTAACCTTTATAAATACTTAAAGATACACTCTGAGTATCCCTTATCCAAAATGCTTGGGACTAGAAGTGTTTCAGATTTTGTACTTTTTCAGATTTTGAAGTATTTGCAGAAATACTTGTATATAACAGTTGAGCGTCCCTAATCTAAAAATGTGAAATTCTAAATGCTCCAATGAGTATTTCCTTTGAGCACCATGTCAGTGCTCAAAAATTTTTAATTTTGGAGCATTCTGGATTTCAAATTTTTCAGATTAGGGATGCTCAACCTATATCAGAAATAACAGAATTGTAGGTTAAGGCCTTCCCCCACTTTCCTTTAAAGGTAAATCAGAGCAAAGCTTTTAAATACAATATGATCCCATAAACACTATTTGAAATTTTTAGCCATAGTTCTCACTAACAGGTAGAAGTTGTAGTGCTATATATGGATATTCGATTCATATTTGTGTAACCTCAAAAATCAGTCCAAACAAAAATCAAATACTGGTAATGATTATAGTGTAGAACTATAGAATAAATCTGATGCAAAACTAAGTAAAGTTCAAGCTGCCTAAATGGGACTTGTCTGTGGTTTCTTGCTACCTTATATTTTTACGTATGTTTTTTTTTTTCTTTTGCCTTTAGCTGTTTCCTTTGGTCCCAAATTGAAGAAAGTTCCTTTGCTAGAATTTGTATAAGAGAATGCATATACACAGCAGCATGCTCTGAAGCAGCAAAGTCCAACAGAACTCTCTGTAATGGCAGAAATGTTCTAGATCTGCACTATCCACTGCAGAAGCCACTATCCACATGTAGCTATTGAGTACATGAAATGTGGCTAGTATGATTGAGAAACTGAATTTAACTGTATTTAATTTTAATTTAAATGTAAAGAGCCACATATGGTTAGCTGTGTATTATTAGCATAGCTCAGGAAAGATTTAAAAATAACTAGAATATAGGAAGGTAGTCATTACTTGCCATCTACATTCAAATTATACACGCTTCAAAAGGAAAAATGAGGGGAGAAAAAGCTAATGGAGACAGGAGAAGCAGAGTGATGAACATCCTTGTGGATATAAAGATAGCTCTCCAGACACCCTGAATTGAAACCATCTTAGACAGTTACCAGCACTGAGACTTTTGCCAAATTACTTAACTTCTTTGTGTCTCCAGTTTCTCAAATGTAAAATGGAGAGAGTAGTAGTTACGTAGCAGAATTCAATGAATATATAAAATGCATTTAGAATAGTACTTGCCTCATAGTAAGCAGAAGATACATGTTAGCTATTTCTTCTTCATCATCAGCAGCAATAGCATCACCATCATCACCATGAATAATATCAAATAGATAGGAGCCAGGTATTTCTGAAAAATCCTGGCTGGTAAGCTCAGGATGAGCATAAGACATCAGCTTTCTCAGGAGCCTTTCTGAACTACTATACTCTTCTGATAGCTGCACGCAGCAGCTAGGTTTGCTGGTGGGTTTTTTCCCCCTAGTTGTGCTGGTTCCAATGAACTGAGTAACACTCAGTAGACTGGCTGACAGCCTCAATGAACTGAGTAACACTCTTATGGCTAACATAATAGTGTACATCACTATTAGCTGAAGGTGCTTTTACAAGTTATTGCCAGCATTAAAGAAAAAAAGAGATCAAACAGAGAAGTGGTAATTGCTGCTGTCAGCTGAAGAAGAAATATAACAGCTTCAGGTTATGTCCAGAACTTATCTTTCCTTGAATAGTACTCAGAAATCACCATTCTCCAATTCCTATCTGTGACTGTGTTGACTATTCACATGAAAGAATATATGTGAAATGACTTTGGAAGCATAAAGCTGCTGTAAACCTGTGATGTATTCCCTTCTAAATGTGACAAGTTTTTTGAGTCACTTTCTTTCACAATCATGGAATACAAATAGAGGCCTAGATGGAATGCTTAGTTGATGATGATGTTGATCTTCAATATTTTTTTATAGTTATAAATCCATACATGACATGATGAAACTAGAAAAGTGATTTTTAAAAATCTCTATCATAATACTTTAGAGAACATTTACTTTTTAAAATGAAAGCAGATCATTAAATATTTCATTTAATTAATTAAAAAATATCACAAGGCCAGAAGAATACTATGTTGATAGTTATCAGTGTTCTGCACCAAAATTTAAAAAAAGAAAAAAAAAAGACACAAAAAATTTACATAAACATTTATTTAGGGCTTACCATTTACCAGGTTCTCTTCTAAGCACTTTGTAAATACTAACTAGTTTTATCCACACAATAATATCCCAGCGAAGTAGATTTTATTATTCTCCATTTTACAACTGAGAAAACTGAGAACACAGAATTTAGGAGACTTTCAAACCGGCAGTCTTGCTTTACGGTTTATGCTTCTATGCTATGCTGCCATATACAATGATAACAATAATAATAACAATAATAAATAAGTCTAGATCCACAATTAGTAATTCCTACCAGATTAAACATTCATGTCCTTTGCTGTGATTCACTGCTTTTCTGGTAGGAATGGCATTCTCCTCACAAGAAGCTCTGTGTCTTTACTCTTCTATTTAGAATTACCATTATTAAAGAATCTACAGACACAAACTTACTGTCTCATGTCGGCCAATTTTAGCTTTCTCAATGCTTTTCTGGAGGTTTGCGTGCTTTTGCCTTCCCTCAGACAACTAGGGAATCAAAAACAAATAAAATGGCTTGCTTAGATAAAACTTCCTTGACATGTAGTTTATGAAGACAAAACGAAATTTTTCTTCGGCTCAGGATAATGTCACAAAAAAGTCAGATTACACTGGGAACTAACTTTTCTAATTTGAAGAAAACCAAGGACCATGAAACATTAGGGAAGGCTGAAAAAAAAAAAGTTAAAAAAATTTTTCTTCTTATTCCATGGAGAAAAATGAATAATATGTCTTTAAACTTTTTTACAGTCTTCATTTACCAGGTTCTCTACCCTTACCCCAAATAACTTGAGGCCTATTATTTAGTTAGAAATTGAATTTGAAAATTCAAAAATATCTTCTTGGGGGGCAGCTGGCCAGTACTGAGATCAAACCCTGGACCTTGGTGTTACCAGCACCATGCTCTAACCAACTGAGCTAACCAGTTGGCAAAATCTGTTTTTTAAAATACAAATTCTCTCTCTAAATGTCATTTCACTTCTGACTAAAGTCTTTTTAAAATACTGTAGACTGTGTTTTGTAGACTTGCAGTATTGTGACCTGTCTGGCTAACAGTCAATAATGAATGTATCATTTATTATTCTTAAATAAATTACTTTATGAAGAATTGCATACTTTATTAATATTTATTGAATCAAAATTGATTAGACATATATTGAGGGTTCAACATTGAGATATGTTGATCAAATCAATATTACTAGCATATATATTGTTACAAATCATACTTATTCTTTATGCTCCTTGTCCAATCTCTCCCCATCCCCCTCTACCTCCTTCCCCAAATGCTGATAACCCTAGATTTCTTCTCTCCTTCTGAAAGAGTAATGGTCACTCTGTTGATTTGTTGCCTAGGTGATCTGTCTAATGCTGAGAGGTGTGATCAGGTCCCCCAATATTATCATAGAGCAGATGCTGCTTCTGTCACTCTGAAATGAGATTTGTGGAGAGAGATGTCCTCTTCAAGTGGGAATTAAGCTTGAAATATATGGACTTTGAGAGACACAATTCAATCAATCCAATCCACAGCATATGGTAAGAGTATGTATAGTTTTGTAAGAAACTGTCTTCCAAAGTGGCTGTACCATTTTGCATTTGCAACAGCTATGAACAGAGAGTTTCTTTGCTCCACAAACTTGCCAGCATTTGGTGTCATTAGTGTTCATTCTTTCTTTAATGTCTACATACTACTACTATATATTCCAGTCCTCCATTAATAGCTATTTTATTTATATTCTGTTTTTCATTACTACAATGCTCCAGCACCCCTGTCTTTTGACATATATCTCTATACACATGCAGAAATACTTTTGTAAGGTAGTTTGGAAGTAGAATTGCTGGTTCAAAGGATATGAACATTTAAAATTTTTAGTTGGGGCTGGCCCCGTGGCGCACTCAGGAGAGTGCAGCGCTGGGAGTGCAGCAACGCTCCCGCCACGGGTTCGGATCCTATATAGGACTGGCTGGTACACTCACTGGCTGAGCGTGGTGTGGGTGACACCAAGCCAAGGGTTGCGATCCCCTTACCGGTCACGAAAAAAGACAAAAAAAAAAAATGTTTAGTTGTTTTTTTTTTTAATTGTGGAAAATATACATAATGAAATTTATCATTTTAACATGTATAATTCAGTGCCATTAAGTACATTCACACTGTTGTGACTGCAACCATAACCACTCTCCATTTGTAGAACTTTTGCATCATTCCAAACAGAAACTCTGTACCCATTAAACAACAGCTCCCCATTCTCCCTTCACTGCAGCTCCTGGTAACCATTATTCTACTTTCTGTTTCTACGACCTTCCTTATTCTAAGTACCTCATTCCACTTATATGTGGAATCACACAACATTTTTCCTTTTTTGTCTGGCTTACCTTACTTGGCATGTTTTCAAGGTTATTCATGTTGTAGCATCTATCAGAATTTCCTTCCTTTTTAAGGCTGAATAATATTCCATTACACGTACACACCACAGTTTTGTTAACCTGTTCATCTCCTGATGGACATTGGGATTGTTTCTCCCCTTTTATCTATTATGAATAATGCTGCTATAAACACTGCTGTACAAGAACCTATTTGAGTCCTTGCTTTTAATTCTTTGGGGTATATACCTCAAAGTGGAATTGCTGGATCACATGGTAATTCTACATCTAACTTTTTGAAGAACCACTATACTGTTTTCCACAGAGGCTTCACCATTTTACATTCCTACCAGCAAATCCTACATAAGGATTCAGATTTCTCCACACCCTTGCCAACACTTATTTTCTTCTTTTATCCTTTTTTTTTTTTTGGTAATAATGGTTATCCCAATGGGTGTGAAGTGAATGTTTAACTTTTAATTTCATCGTTTTGCCTTTCACCAATAGTATGTAATAGGCTTACTCCCTGCAGGTTTCCCAAAAGTGGATATTAGTAATAATTTTAAAGACTGATAATCTAATGGCTGAAAATGACATTTCATTATTGTTTTAATTTGTATGTCTTTCATTATTGAATTTAACATCTTTTCCTGTACCTACTAATCATGTGTATTTCTTCAATGACTTGTTTAATAATATTCTTTGAACATTATTTTATAGAACTGTTTACCCTTTTCTTGTATATTTTAGGAACTGTTTATAGGTAGTAGATATTAATTTTGTATAAATGCTAACTTTTAATGTTATCTTTCAAAGAACAAGTTTTAATTTCTTACACAAATGCATCAGTCTTTTCCTTTATGGCTTCTAGGTTCTGTATCTTGCTTAGAAAAGCCTCTCATCCTAATATTGTACAGATTCCCTCCCTTGCTTGTATTCTTTCATGTTTTGCTCTTTAAAAGACCTGCTTATCTTGGAGATAGTGTGAGGCAGGGCTCTAACTTCAATATATTTCAGTGATATCCCTACAATTCATTGAATAGTCTTTCCTTTCTCCACTGAATTAACAACAATATATGGCATCTTTATCATAAAATAAATAAATATATATGGGCCTGCTTATAGCTTCTCTATACTGCTCCACTTATGTTTGTCTATTCCTATACCAATAGCAAGTTTTAATTACTGTAGCATATTTGTTCTGATATTTGATAGGCAAAAATCCCACCTCACTGTTCTTCTCTTTATACTTTCTTGGTCCTTTATTGCAGTTTCTCTACCACATGAACTTAAGAATCATCATAAGAACCTAGTGGGATTTTGGTTACCATTACATTAGCTATAGAGAAATTGACATTTTTAAAATTGAGTTTTCTCATTCATGAGTCTGTTGTTCCATTAACTTAGGAGTTCTTTCATGTCCTTCAGTAGAGTTTTATAGTTTTCTTCATGTATATCTCCCCTATTTCCTGTTAGGGTTTAATGTTGTTTTTGGTGCTACTGAGGGATAGGCAATGACCCTAGGCTAAGTCTATCACCATATGGAATGTTCTTGGCCACTGTGGTTGGTGTCAAGTATTGCTGAATCAGAGTAAAGTTAAAGTCTTTTGTTCAGTGGTTGTGGAAACAACTCTCTCTTGCCCTCTGTATTCTAAAATATAGCTACAAGGAGGCAAATAGCCCAAATTACTGATGGCAACCATCTTATAACCTTAAATAAATCCAACCTGATGATATGGGCATCAAGCAAAGGCCAAAACCAAGATAAATACAAAGAAATGGAGTTTGAGTCCTGATTAAATGACACCTAAAGCCTCTACTTTTGAAAATTTTAATTTAAATGAGCCATTAAATAAATTGCCCCTTTATCATTTAAGCCAAGTAAACTTGGGTTTTATACTATTACCATGGTAAACATTTTAACTGTTACAATGGATAAAGCTTTAACAATAGTCTCTTTCATATAGTGCTGGCAAACTACGAGAGCTACAAAAAATTTGGGGAGACATAGAATATAAAACATTCTTATTCCTCTATTTTGGGTTATAGAACTAAGTCTCCAAGAATAGGAGTGGGTGGAATAAAGTAATACACTCTTCACTCAATAAATATTTATGAAGTGTCTAGTCCATATATGGTTACAGTATTATTGGCTCGAATCTTTTCACTAAATTAATTTAGTTGAGTAATAGATAACTCAAGGTAGTGTTTTACATGTAGTGAGCACTGGATGTTTGTTAAATATTTTTGAAGTATTTTTTCTAATAAGTATAAGACAGTATTCATTAAAAGAAAACACTGCGAAGCTAGTAAAAATACAGTACATTAATATTCACTTAACCAAGAGATCAAATTTCTAGCAATCCGACCCCGTGAATACATTAAAAGCCTGGAAATGAGAAAAGTACTCCAGGAATCCTAAATAATGGACATAGGAAAGTGTGAGAATTCCCTCAAGAAAGCAAGATAAAGGGAAAGTGAAGTCACTCAATAAGTGCAAGTTCAAGACACATAAAATAACACCTGCTGAAGATCAAAATCGAGAATTACAATGTAAAGAAATGAACCACCAGGCAGTCTCAGCAGTTAACAACAAACAAGAGATTAGTAGTCCCTCAACTACCAATATTAGGAATATGTTTAGTAAGATTAAACTAATAAAAGTAGAAATAGAAAAGTAAAAATATATGATAAAGAAAAAGCAGGCAGATTTTTTTAAAAAAAAATTAATTTCTCGGAAGAGATAAAAAATATTAAAAAGTAGTTAAGAGATATGGAAGGTCCAACAGAAATATAACAGTGTCATGAGAATGAACATAGAAGTGATCACAGTTAGACAAAGCCTTCTTCAGAATCCAGTTAGAAATCATTCAGATATTTTGGGTGCCAAAGACATGTAAAATCCAACTGATGCAGTGAAGAGAGTAAGTTATAAATTTATGAAGGATCGCATACTTCTCATACGTGAAACCTGGGTTATAATTGGACGAATCCAGAGATGAGGGCTAAGTAGCAGATACCAATTGTCTAAAAATACTCATTCTTTCTTAGAGGATCCCCAACAACAGGCTTAGCTAAAAAAATCAAACAAAAAACCAACTATACTTCCCTGCCTACTTCAAGTCAGATAT